CCATTCCTGCAAATACTCCAGAAACTTGGGGTTTTTTAACTGTGACGTCACCACCGATGGGAGCAATCCCGTGCCTCTCGTGACGTCACAATGGCACGGATTCCTGGCGGTGACATCACAATGCTCGGAAATTCTCACCTGGGGCGGGGGCGGGAGTGGGGGAGGGCAGCGGCAGCGGGTCCCCGAACGAGCCCCTTTCTTGTTCCCGTCCGCTACATTCAACCTTCGCGCCACGCTTTCCGAGCCCCGCCCCTCGCTAGAGAGCCAATCCGCTCTTTTAGAATCTTCGAATCTTCACCGGGGAAGGAGGCGGGCCACTGCTGACCGAATCTCCCAATGAAGAGGCGGGGCTGGGACACCTGGGCGGGGCCGAGACCTGGGCGGGGGAAAGGGATGAGAGCCTCCTTCTGGGAGGTCGATTGATTGACGCTTGGCGCAAGAGGGACTCTTGGCCAATAGACGAGCCAGAATATCTTCTACTCCCCGCCCCGCTGACGCGACCCATCGAATCCATCGTTTTCAATTGGGGCGTTTGAATGTCGCTGTTATCCAATCAGACGGAGAGAAGGAGAAAAACGCACCGTTGATATTCGTGGATGCACGAGCAGTCGGTCATTTCTCAAGTTGGCGTCTAATCAGTGGCTGCGGATAAGGGGCGCTGTAGTCTTAACACAGGGATCCCCCAATCTCTGGCCCGAGGCCCAGTAGCGGGCCCGAGGCCTCACAAGGAATAGTTTCCTTTTGAAATGAATACCCCTGGAGATCAGAACTGGCTGCCCAGAGATGGATAACTTCGCCCTGAACCCTTAGAGGCAGCGATGACCATGAAATAATTTAGCTATTTGGGATTGTTCTCATAGGCTTGTGGTGAAGATAAAACGGAGAAAAGTCCTGTAGGGTAGTAGTTTTTGACTTGGGGCTACAATTGAACCCCAAAAAATTATGTTGCTAAGTGAAAAATGTTTGCCCTTGTTTTACGATTTTTGTTGCCGCAGTTGTTAAGTGAATCACTGCAGTTAAATTTGGCCACATGATTTAAGTGAATCACTTAAACACACTTTGCTGTGTCAGAAAAAAAGTGGATCTTATGACCTGGAGATACTGCAACCGTCCTAAAGGTAAATAAGCTATCAAGCATCTGACATTAAATCAGGTAACCATGGGGATGCTGCAACGGTTGTAAGTCTGAAAAATGGTCATAAATCGTTTTCAGTGCCGTTGTAACTTTGAACAGTCACTAAGCGAAATAGGTTTTAAGTCAAGGACTACCTGTAAAAGGAAACAAAACTTGCACCTCGTGCCTGGTGTTCATTGGCTTCGGCACCTGGCTCAGATCTGAATCGGGGACAACACTTGCTTAGTGTTTTTCAACCTTAGCAAGGGTTATAATGTGTGGACTTCAAACACCAGAATTTTCCACCTACCTATGCTGGATTCCAGGAGCTGAAGTCAGAATCAGAATGGAGCTGGAAGGGACCTTGGAGGTCTTCTAGTCCAACCCCCTGCTCAAGCAGGACACCCCATACCATTTCAGACAACTGACTGTTCAGTCTCTTCTTAAAAACCTCCAGTGATGAATCAGAATCAGAATAGAGCTGGAAGGCACCTTGTAGGTCATCTAGTCCAGTCCCCTGCTTAAGCAGGAGATCCTATACCAGTGACAGCTAACCTTTTTGGCACCAAGTGCCGAAACGGGAGTGCGCGTGATCTTTTTCGGCACTGAGTGCTGAAGCGCTTGTGTGCACGAACCAGAAAAGCAGACGATCTTCCCGTTTCTGGTGTGCTTGCACGCATGAACCCCAGCTGTCCAGTTGTGCATGTGTTGGTTCTGCCTACCCTTTCGGGGATCCTTTATCTCATCTCCCATGAAAGTTTCTGTTTTGATCTTTTTCAATTCTTTGGGTTCGGGGTAATAAGGACTGAAGATGATTTTTTTTTAATGTAACATCATTGAAATAAATGTATGACAATAAAATAATTATACTACGTAATAAAACAGCTCTGGATGTGCAAAATAATACAGGTAGTCCTAGGCTTACAACAGTTCATTTAGTGACCATTACAAAGGCACTTTAAAAAGCGACTTATGACCATTTTGCACAGTTACAATCTTTCTCGCATCCCAACGATTGTGTAAGGAAATAGAGTCACAGCTCCTTGCTTATTTTATCAGGTACTAGCCGTGCTTCGCGACAAAACTATGTGATTGGGCTATTCACAAAAGGTTTCCTCCTGTTATGCACCTTGCCATACATCTCGAAAACGGCCAGAGAGTTTATTTTACCGAGGACAATGTTGTTGAAAGGATCAATAACCCTCCAAAAACAACACTTTGGGGCTTTTTTGAGCTGTGCAAAATTGATGCTTTCGCAAGGACCCTTTTATATTGCGAATTTCCAACTTACTACATATGGAAAGGCAACCAGTTCTGCAGGAGGAAAAAAAAGAGAGGCCTGAAACACATAAGGGAATATCGCTCCCACTGTCTTGAGTCCGGAAGCAGTTCCATAGGTGGAAGGCGTAGTCATTTTGGTGAGGTACCGAAGTTTACTACTGTAAGGAGCCCCAGACAGCTCATGAGTGACTGCCAGTTTGAACTGAGGTAATGGAATGTGAGACTTCTTTTCAGGTGGGGAGGGGGAGTAGAACTCCTTAGCATTCAAGCCTGTTAATTACTGTATAAGAAATAGTAATGATCTGATCGTCCTTTTGAAAAATCCTTTCTTAGCGAGCACCTAGACCCCAAGAGGAACTTTCATGCCAAATTTCAAGTTTGCAGGCTTTATGATTGCAGGCCAAGGGCCCAAAGTTACAATCAAGATGATTGCAGGAGGGAGTGACAACCATCATCTCAAATCTGGGTCATAAGTACCCCTAGGGAGGTTCATCATAAGAGACAGTTGGTAAGTGACCAGTCCTAAGTCCAGCACTGCCTGAGTAAATTGGGAACTGTCACAAAGTTGGAACCCAATCAGGTTCCTTGCAATGATTTAGAGATGAAGAAAGTTAGCATCTACCTCTCTCCTAGAAGAATGAAATATTTTGAGAAATATTAAAAAGGCAGAATATTATATTTCCCTGGATGAGACATGGGGAAACATGTTTTTTTAAGCAACCCCCACTTTCTTAATAGCCCCAGCAGATATTTTGTGTCTATTAGGAAAGACTGTATCTACAAAACAAAAGACCTTCAGCTCCAGGATGACAGAATTATCCTTCAGGGCAAAGCCATTCAGACACAATAGGAATTGCCCTTCATTGTATCAGCCAAACTTCAACCAAGCTTACCTCAGACAAATTCCTAGGATTTATACATGGCCCCATGGGAGTCTGACATCAGCCAATAGAATATATGTTCTTGCCCAGGAACTGGAAGCTCAAGTGCAAAGCCCAAGAAAAGGTATAAATACACCCTCCCCTCAATCTCAACTCCATGTGGTCAGCTGCCCAGAACCCATGTGGTTCTGCTTCATTAAACCATCTTTCCAATCAGACTCCACGTTTCCAGTATCTTTTTCCCAGCTTGGAACTGAAGCAGATGGATATTTATTTCAACAAAGATGAACTTTCAGTCAATGAGCAAATGTATAGGCCACATTTGCAAACTACGTACTGAAGTATTGGGGCTTTCCAAGAATGATCTTTTGTCTTCTATGCGTGTGTAATAAATTCACACAATACTTGGGTCAACCAGAAGTAAGATTAAAAAAAGCTGTTTGCAAAGAGCTGGTGACACATTTGCTTGACACAACAACAGAAGCCCACACCAAGTTATAGATCTCAGCATATTTTATACATCCCTCTCACCGGCCGCAGGTCCTTTCTATCCTAGCTACACCCTGTTGATAGGTCTGCTTCAGTCACATACTTTCCGACCACCTATAATCTACTAATCACTAAATGTATAAAGTTAGTTAATCCGTTATTGTCACCCAAACTTGCTAAGCAATCAACCCCCTCCTATCCAATCCCTTTGATACTTCCATATCAATTACCTTGCTAGACAAAAATCAAAACATAGCCATAAAACAGGATATTAATTGAGTAGAAACAACATTCAAGGGAGGAGGATGTCAAAGTGAGCTTGAATTAGATACATTCTTACCCCAGTCAAGGCTGAGCTTGACTATTTCCCTTATTTATGGAGACTTGTTAACAGATTAATTGCTTTCCCTGTCAGTTCTGGTCTCAAGCAGGGAGTGAGAGAGGGAAGCAGTCCCCTTTCAAGTTAACGGGAAATTATCTGTAAGCAACATTAAAACATGCCTGTAATGTGGCTATATGTTAAGATACTAACTGAAATAGTTTAAACATAGGATATATCTTATATACTGTAAATGCATCAGCCTTTCATAAGCTATGTGGTACAACTTCGGCATTCTTTGCAGTGTCTTAGTATATATCCAAGCATGAGAATATGAGGTCTGGCAATCTCATTTCCTTGCAGATTAGGGAGCAGAGAGGAGACACTTCTGGTTTAATTTCTCCCACTAGCAGGTGAAGCTGAATGGGGAATAAGGTCATTCCCAAGAAACAAGGTCATTCTCAGCAAACCAGATCTTTACAGCAATCTGGTTTAGCAGCTAACTAGAAACAACTTGGTTCCTTTCTATGTTCTTTCTTGACCTACGCCTACTACACCCACTACAAGCCGTCTTGACATAATAATAGCAATAGCGATTAGACATATACCGCTTCACAGTGCTTTTACAGCCCACTCTAAGCAGTTTACAGAGCCAGCATATTCCCCCCCAACAATCTGGGTCCTCATTTAACAACCTTGGAAGGATGGAAGGCCAAGTCAATCTTGAGCCTGGTGAAATTTGAACTGCTGAATTGCAGGCAGCCGTCAGGCAGCAAAAGTAGCCTGCTGTATTGCATTAACCATTGCGCCACCAGGCTCAGAGCCTGCCCGTTACAATCATGTCACAACAGTCACAGAAGATGACCAACCCGATGTTACGAACCCATTCATGGCAGTCGTTAAGTAAATCACCGCATTTATTAAGCGAAACCTGCCATCATTAAGTAAACATTGTGGTTCTTAAGCAAACTGATGGTTTGCCCAGGGGCCATGGAGGGGGCACGTCCGTCAGAACTCTGAATCTAGGTTGCAACCCCCTTCTTCATGTTGATTGTCACTTTGAGCAAGGACTATCTGTATCTAGCTACTCCGATCGCCCTACTGTCTTTTGTCTAGAGTGCCTCATTATAGCTTCTCCCGGGCATGGATTTTCTGATGCCTGGAGAGATTAAAGGAACTAGAGAACATTTTCTTGCATTCGGGGCAACCGTACGACTTCTCGCTAGTGTGAGTCCGCATGTGCTTTTTAAGCCCGTGGCTCTGCAGGAAGCTCTTCCCGCATTCAGGACAGAGGAAGGGCTTCTCTCCCGTGTGCGACCTCTCATGTTTGGCAAGCTGCAATCGCTGAATGAAACTGTTCCCGCAGTAGGTACACTGGTAGGGCTTCTCGACAGTATGCATCCTTTTATGGGTGGCGAAGTGAGAACTAGAAATGAAACATTTCCCACAATCCGGGCACTGGTAAGGTTTCTCGCCCGTGTGTATCCGCTTGTGTGTTGTGAAATGATAACTGTAAGTGAAGCATTTCCCGCACTCTGTGCACTGGTACGGTTTCTCCCCGGTGTGAATTCTCTCATGCTTCCTCAGCAGGCAACTTGAAATGAAACTCTTCCCACAATCGGAGCAGACATACGGTTTTTCCCCCGTGTGGGTCCTGGTGTGCACAACAAGATCTGACCTTTGATTGAAACTTTTGCTGCAGAAGGCACATTGGTGGG